TCTACTGTTGAATCCCAGTAAATTGTTCTTATTTCAGTTAGTGTATGCTTAATTTCTGACAGATCCTTTTTCTTTTTTTTCTTTTTTATATTTTATTGATTTTTTTACAGAGAGAAAGGGAGAGAGATAGAGAGTCAGAAACATCGATGTGAGAGAAACATCGATCAGCCGCCTCCTGCACATCCCCTACTGGGGATGTGCCCGCAACCCAGGTACATGCCCCTGACCGGAATCGAACCCGGGACCCCTCAGTCCGCAGGCCGACGCTCTATCCACTGAGCCAAACTGGTTTCGGCGACAGATCCTTTTTCATGTCTTTGATATTCTCACTAAAATCCTTGAAAGTTTCACGGTCCTTGAGTAAGCTAAAAACCGTATATCCAGTAGTTTGCTTGCTTCCATTTCTTTCATTTGTGGCATGTTTCTTTATTTCTGCATTTTGGCTGCTTCCCTGTGTTTGTTTCTATGAATTAGGTAGAGCTGCTGTGTCTCCTGGAATAGGTAGAGCAGCCTTGTGTAGTAGATGCCCTCCCAAGTCACCTGAGCTGGGCACTCTACATGCACACCTGAGGGGGCTGTATGCATGGTCTTGTAATTGAGCCTTGATTGCAGTGGCATCGCTGGAAGAAATCGACCTACAGGCCCATTGGCTGTGAGGAACCCCAGAGAATACCTCTGGAGAGCTGCTATTCAGGAAGCACCACTATGGAGCAGGATTTGGACGACCAGAGAGATGTGTAGAGAAATCCCAGATGCGAGAACTACTTTGGTGGCTTTCTAGGCCCCTTCTTCCTGGCTACAAAAACCCCAAAGGCAGAGGCTGAGGTACTCCAACAACCCAGGAGAGGCACCTGGACTCAGTAGGCTTGGAATATTCCTGGCGCCTTCCTGGGCCTTTTTTGATCCACAAAGGGTGGAGGGAGAGGCTAGGAGACAGAGGGATCTGTGGAGCCACAGTGCCATTAAGCGGAATCCTTTTCGAGCAGGGCCAGCAACACAGGGCCCCTGCGCCTGGGGATCCGCTGGGGAAGGCCTGCGGGCAGGCGGGCAGGCTGGGTCTGGGGACCACAGAGCACTGTGGGCCAGGTCTGGGTGGCCAAGGAAGCCACAGGGAGAGGTGGAAGCAGCAGTGCTCGCCCAGAAGGGCGCCTGGGTTCCTCTGGGCTGAGGGGCGTGGCGTTGGAGGCCTGGGACCCAACCACCAGGGAGACAGGGAAAGGGGAGGAGGCGGCAGCCCCGTTAAGGGACAGCCTCTTCATGACCCCATGAAGCATTTCCCCTGCGCTTGTGTGCGTGCATGCGAGTGCTGGTCCCAGACAAGGCAGAGTCCAGCAGGAGCAGGGCAGGTTAAGAGTTGTGTGTGGCATCCTTGGGCTCACACCTAAAAGAGAGCCTGCGTCCCAGGCCACCCAGTGTCCCACACAGGCCCTTCCTGTTCCATAGGACAGAGAGTTCCCAGGCCCACTGGGCACTGCGTGCGTACCCTTGGATCAGATCACAGGGGGCAAGGATCCCTTGTGGAGAGGGACTGCATTCTCTGGATGGTGATCAGGTCCATTATCCTCACTCTCCTTCACAAGGCCCAGTGCCTAGGCGCTCCGGGCCCTCAGAGGCATGCCAACACACATATATGGGCACGCTCACACACACACACACACACACACACACACACACTTGGGCAGCGGGTCCTTGATCTGGGGATGCAGCAGTTGGTCCTGACCAAAGGGCACGCCAAGACCCCCTGGGGCTGAAGGCCAATTCGAACACGTAGATCAGGACCTGGCACAGCGCGCCTCAGGACACTGGCCTCCAGGGCCTCTGCACTGACAAGGCCTAAGTACGCTTGGCAAAAGGTCGGGGGACTCACAACTGAGAAAAGAAGGGACAGGGAGCAAGGGAGCACATTTCGGCACCCGTCCTGGACATGTGAAAGCAAAGGGTATGAGCTCAGCCAGGAGCTGAGCCTGGAGACCAGCTCCCAGAGACCAGCTGACCCCCAGCAGGGAAGAGCTCCCCAGGGGCCACAAAAGAGCACCCCAGGAGTTCTTCCCCGCAGGGGGCTCCCTGGACCCTCGGGGTCTAGATGGAAATGCTCCTCATTCCTGGCTTTGGCAGACAGGCTGCCTCTGTGGTGGGCAGGTGGACAATGGGGGGCGGGAGGGGGTTCCCCTCTGTCAACCCAGCTGCTTTGAGCTGGAGGCCACATCTTCACACTTTGTCTTGTTTCTCCAACCTGCCTGTGGGCCAGCCAAGCATTCAGTGGAGACCTGGAGAGTCAGGGGTGAGTACAAGCCAGGGCCATTCCTTCCCCTCGCCCAAGTGCTGCTCAGGGCCTCTTGATGGAAGGTGGCAAGAACGCCCAAGTCTGCCGACGTATGGCAGGTTGTCCATCCGCTCAACTCGATTCCATTCCCAGGTTTACCAGGCGGTCCTCTCCCTTCAGGGAGGTGCGTCCGGGATCCTTGGCGGGCAGGCCTAGTTTGGAATCCTGGTGTTATGGAATATGGAATTTATGGAATTGGCACAGAAGAGACAGTTGGACACTCTGAGGTTTCAGGAAAAGCCTTTATTCAAAGCAGCGCTGCTGGTTCAAGGGACTCAAAGACCCAGATCCTGAACCACTTAGACAATGAGATTTTCTCCTTATATATTTCTGAGTTTCTTTGTTTCCTAACTACCAGCTTCTGTAGTGGACTCTCACAGTGTCCCTCCCCCTTCTCCTCCAAGAATCAGTTAGAATGGTTAACTTAGACAAATCTAATGTCCATTCTGGATGGCACCAGTGACCTCCCTCTAGTTAAGCTGTTACATCCTTCGTTTATGGCCCCTTGTTAATTGGGCATATTTAGGTAAATAGCTCTTGCAAGACCAGATAATTAAGGAAGGGGCAGTGACTTCAGGAATGTGCATTAGGGACACTGATTACCTTAGGTACAGAGTCCAGCTGCTAGTCTCCTACATTCTTTCACAAATGGAGTTAATTATCGGCTAGCAAGAGGGTGCAGTAGAAAGCAGGTTACTGGAACAAATTCAGTTTGCTAGCCCCAAAAATGTCTTATGCTCCCCATCATCCCCCTCCCCCTTGATCCATAAGCTAGCCTTAGCCTTGCGGATTATAGAAGACTCAGTGATTGGGGATAGGGACGATGACCGCTCTAACTACTTCCGGCTGAAGGGGGGTGTTGAGATAAAGGGGTTCAGCATGCCAAGTCTTCATCATCTTCCCCCAGGGAGTCGTAGTAGTGCAGGTTCCTGGCTTGTAGTACCATTTGGAGCTTAAAGGCTTCTAAGCAAGAAGAAATAAACTGTGTTAGCATATTGAGTATACAGGGGCCAAATAACAGAGCTAGGAGTATCATTAAAAGGGGACCTGCTAGTGGCAGTACCCACAAGGCCCAGTTCCATATATTATTCCAGGAACTCCAAGATTCTGATAATTCCTGTCTTCTTTTTGAAGCCTGATCAGCTAGCTTCTTGGCCCCATCCCTTACAATACCAGACTTGTTGGCATAAAAACAGCACTCTTCCTCAAGAAACAGGCACAGCCCTCCTTTTTCCGCTGTGAAAAGGTCCAGTCCTCTTTGATTCTGGAGAGTATTGGCTGCCAGTGAGTCAATCTGTTTCTGTACTGCAACAATACTTTGGGCTATTTCTTCTAAGCTGTCAGCAAGGTCTTTGGATAGGCTCTGATAGTAGGAGAGGGAAGTTGCCAGTCCTCCTGTTCCAGTGTTAACACCTGCTGTAATGCCAAGCGTTTTAAGGAGAGGAATTAGTTGGACTGCTCTTTTGTATCGGATATGGTGTGTTTCGGGGACGGGCAAGGACTGATTATTGGGGGCTATATCTACATTGGGTGAGAGGTAGATGAGAGTGCAAGTCCCTGTCCAGTTTGTGGGGAGACAGACATATGTGTTTTGTCCACAGAGGAAGAAGATTCCCTCATTATGGAGACAAGCTGAAAGGTGTAGAGAAAAAAGGTGAGTTGAAGAATATGGGGGTCTCTGTCCTGATTCTGCGCTCCAAACTGAGAGGGTGGCTGCCATGGCGCTTCCGATAAGGGGTGACAGGTGAGAGGTTGAGACTCTTTTGCAGTGAAAGTGGGTAGGAATACTAGTATGAGGTGTTATCCAAGGAAAAAATGAAAGGGAAGGAAAAGAACAATTGAAGTCTCGGGCCTGGACTGTTGGATAAGAAGTAAAACGGACTGGCTGTAGAAAATGACCATTGGCTTCTGGGGAGACTTGGTAGTCAATCCGTTGGGACCAATAGGTATTTGGTAGTTCCAGTTTGACTGTGGTGTTGCAAGCAGAGGATGGGAGGTCACCCATTGATATATTGCCCTGTGATCTTGTAAAGCATAAAGGGGCCTGGGTGAGTAGTGGGGTATGTAGAGCAATAGGGCCTGTGACTGGGAGAGAGGACGAAGCTACTTTAGCAAGAGATTGAATATAGGTACGAAAGAGAAGGGAGGCTTGGTTTGCCTGGGTGGTAGGATAATCACCTAATAGGGTGTCAGCTCTTTCAGAAAATATATTCCCCTTTTCTTTTTTATAAGCCAGAGTGGTTTTGGCCTGGTTCCATCCCTCAATGGGTGTAGGGATGGCTATATATGCTGAAGAAGAGAGGGAAAGGCAGAGCCAGCATTCCCTGGCTAAGGCTGGGTTGGTCTGATTTAAGAGGGAGAGGGTGAGGTTAAGTGTTTGGTAGAGATAGTGAGGACTTAGGAGATTCTTAAGAGGCAGAGTGTAGACCTGGGAATGCTCGAGATTAAGAGAGTTCAGTAACAGTAAAAGAACCAGCCTCAGCCTCATCTTGTTCCTTTGCTGTGTAGGAGGTACTAATTTTATGGTGCTCTGTGTCCCAGCAAGGTCAGAAGAGTTCTCCTCCTGGTACTAGCCTAGGGTTCTGGTGGCACTCATAAAAAGACAAAAATAAGAATGATTAGAAAGACAAAAACCATGATTATCCAGAAATACCAGAGCATATTACCTTTAGGGAGAGATAAGAAAGAAATATTAGTGTAAGGGAGAATTCAGCAGGGTGTTATCTGAATTCCTTGGAGCAGGTGATCAGCCAGGTCCTCCGTCTTCTTGAGGGTGATCCACAGGGGGTGTTTCTGGTCGGAGGTCACCTTCCACTCAGGCTGGGCGTCGCTCGGCTGGTGGGCTGCTTTCACCGAGGAGTGGTGGATCCAGGTGTTCAGTCCTGCAACCTTGAGAGCTGTAGGGGTGGTTAGTATGACTGGATAGGATCCCTTCCAAGTTGGCTTAAGGGGCTCCTTTTTCTAGTCTTTTACCCAAACCTGGTCTCCAGGTTTATAAGGGTGTACAGCTGTTCCTAGAGAGATGGGTAATCAGTCAATAACCCATCTGTGGACCTCAAAGACAATTTTTCCAAGTATTTGTAATTGCTTCTGAATTCCTAAGTCCCCTATTTCCCCCAAATCTCCCTTTGGCTGAATTAAGGGAGGAGGTCTGCCATATAGAATTTCAAAGGGAGAGAAACCTACCCTGGCCTTCAGGGCACAGCATACCCCCAGGAGTACAAGAGGTTAGATATCTGTCCAGGGTAAGGTTGTCTCTTGGCATAGCTTAGCCATGGCCTGCTTGATTGTCCAGTTCATGCGCTCTACTTTCCCTGACCTCTGAGGCCTATAAGCTGTATGTAGGTTCCATTTAATTCCTAAAGCCTTAGCTACCTGTTGTACTATTTCTGCTACAAAGGCTGGGCCATTATCCAACCGTATGGTCAGAGGCATTCCATACTGTGGAATTATGTCCTTCAGCAATGCCTTAGTGACTTTTCTTTCCTTTCCTGTGCATGTGGGATATGCCTCGACCCAGCCTGAAAAGGAACAAAGACCAGTAGATATTTATTCCCTCTGCTAGGCCCTATTTCTGTAAAATCTACTTCTAAGTCCTCAAAGGGAGCTTGCCCGCAGCACTGAACTCCTATCGGTCCTACAGGACCCTGGTTTGCATTGTTCTGTGCACAGAGGAGGCAACACTGAGAGACTGAGGCACACAAGGAGGGAAGACAGGCAATCAGGTAGTATCTGCCTAACAAAGCTTCTAGGGCAGTCTTTCCTAAATGAGTAAGTTCATGCTGCTGGAGGACTACCTTATGGGCTAACTGTTCTGGGACACAGACCTTATGATCTGGGAGTATCCACCAACCTTCCTTCATCCTCTTACCCCCTTCTTGCTGGGCCCATTCCTCTTCGGAGGCTCAGGTAATTCAGGAGCCAACATGATCCGCAATGGCACCACCCGCTCCTTAGCAGCCAGCTTTGCCGCTGCGTCTGCGTGAAGGTTCCCTTCTGACACCGAGTCTTTCCCTTTCTGGTGTCCTTTATAACAGATGACTGCTACTTCCTTGGGCTCCCAGACTGCTTATAGTAACTTCAAGATCTCATTCTGATTTTTGATTCTTTTTCCTCTGGCCATCAGGAACCCCCTTTCCTTGTATATGGCCCCATGGATATGCAGGGTAGCGAAGGCATAGTGCGAGTCAGTGTAGATGTTGGTGCACTTATCCTCACTGAGTTCTAAGGCTCTGACTAGGGCCCAAAGTTCTGCTCCCTGCGCTGACCATCCTTCAGGCAGGGCCTGTGCCTCGATTGTCTCAAAGTCTGATACCATTGCATACCGGCTCGTCTTTCCTTCATCTAGGAAGCTACTGCTATCTGTGAACAATACTAAGTCCGGATTCTGTAGGGGCTTGTCTGTTAGATCTGGCTGGCTGGAGTAAACCTCCTCTAGGACTTCTAGGCAATCATGCTCAGGAGCTCCCTCAGCGAAGGGTAAAAAGATGGCAGGATTAAGAGTTCTCACTGCTTCTAATTGTACCTGCCAATTTTCACATAGGAGCCCCTGATACTGAGTCATTCAAGCATGAGTCAGCCAGTGCTGCCCCCTAGCTTCCATTAGAGTAACAACAGACTGAGGTACTTTTACATTTAAGTTTTGTCCCAGGGTAAGCTTATCCGCTTCTTTCACTAATAATGCTATGGCTGCAAGGGTCCTGAGACATGGGAGCCACCTGGAGGCAACTGGGTCAATCTGCTTGGAGAGATAGGCTACAGGTCTTTGCCAGGGTCCAAACTCCTGGGTTAGAACTCCTAGGGCTACCTCATTGTTCTCGTGAACGAAGAGGTTAAAGTCCCATGTCACAGCTGGTAGCCCTAGTGCTGGGGCCTCGGTGAGTTTTGCCTTTATGGTGATGAAGGCCTTTTCCTGCTCAGGGCCCCAGTCAATGGGTGCCTTCTCGTCCCCTTTCAAAGCTTCATAGAGAGGCTTAGCTAGGTCTGAAAACCCTGGGATCCAAATCCGACAGAATCCTGCAGCTCCCAGGAATTCCAGAATCTGCCGCCGGGTGCTAGGGACTCGGATAGCACATACTTCATGCTTTCTTTCAGTCCCTAGCCTTCATTTCCCTTAGGTGATTCGGGAGCCTAGATACTTGACTTCTTTCTGACAAATCTTTGCCTTTTTCTTGGACACCGGTAACCTGTTTCAGTTAAGAGTCTCAGAAGGGCTCGCATTGCTTCCCAGAACTGAGCTCACGTGGAGGCCAGTAGGAGGAGGTCATCTACATATTGGAGTAGAACATATCCCAAGTCCTGTCCTGGGAACATAGACAGATCAGATGCTAGTGCTCTACTAAAAAGAGTAGGGGAGTTCTTTTTTTTTAAATATATTTTTATTGATTTTAGAGAGGAAGGGAGAGGGTTAGAGAGATAGAAACATCAATGATGAGAGAATCATTGGTAGGCTGCCTTCTGCATGCTCCCTACTGGGGATCAAGCCCGCAACCCAGGCATATGCCCTTGGCCAGAATCGAACCTGTGACCCTTTAGTCCGCAGGCCAACGCTCTATCCACTGAGCCAAACCTGCTAGGGCAGAGTAGGGGAGTTCTTGAACCCTTGTGGCAGTCTGGTCCAGGTGAACTGCTCTTTGGCCCCCATAGTTGGGTTTTCCCACTCAAAGGTGAACAGGGGCTGACTGGGGGTGCCAACTAAAGGCAGAAAAAGGCATCTTTCCGATCTAGACATGTAAACCATTCCACCTCTGATGGAATGAGTCCCAGAAGAGTGTAGGGGTTTGGTAGCACAAAGTGCAGGGTTATAACAGCCTCATTAACAGCCCACAGATCCTGTACTGGGTGGTAATCATCAGTCCCAGGCTTTTTGACAGGCAAGAGAGAAGTGTTCCATGGAGACTGACATCATTTAAGAAATCCCCACCGAAGCAGCCGGTCTAAGTGGACCTGGATTCCTAGGCATGCCTCCCTTACAATTGGATATTGGCGGATTTTGATAGGCTGTGCCCAGGCTTTAAGTCAATTAGTACCAGGGCATGATCCTTCTGCCCAGACCAGAGGGATTCTTCCTCTAATTCAGGCTCTAATGGTGAGATCTTTGACTTGGAGGTATAAAGTCTCCATTCTTCCTCCCAGGGCACTGCTAAGGACAGGATCATTGGAGAGGTCTCCTCACCTAGGCACAGCTGTGCTGAGCCATCTGGGGCAAAGGTGACCCCTGCCCCCATCTTGGCTAAAAGGCCTCTACCCATTAGAGGCACTGGGCAATCTGGCAAGTACAGGAATTCATGAGTTACTTGGTGGCTGCCAAGTTAGCATCTGCAAGGGCGGCAGAATGGTCTATGGGTCTGGTCCCCAGTATCTCCAATAATGGTGACCTCCTTTCCTGAGAGAGGCGCTACATTCTGAGTGACTACTGAGTGCTCAGCTCCTGTATCAATCATAAAGTCCACAGTTTGGCCCCCAATTTTTATTCTGACCATGGGCTCATGGGGGCCCAGCTGAAAAGAGCCTGGTCTGTCCTAGTCAGAGTCAGCTGCCATCAGCCCAATAAGATCTGCCTCAGGCAGTTCCAGCCAGTAGCGGCTGGGTGGGTTGGATGACCCTGACTTCTCTTTCTGGTGCTTTGGACATTCATTCTTCCAGTGTCCAGATTCCTTACATTAAGCACACTGGTCTCACTTCAGGTTTGTCCTCCTTCCCCCTAGCCTAGGTCCTTGTTTCCCTTTCTTATCTGTCTGGGAGCTTGATTCCTTGATAGCCACCGCTATCAAGGTTGCTTTCTTTTTCAGTCTCTCCTCCGCTTCTTTCTTAGCTGCCCTGTCTCGGTTAATGAAAGCCTTGTTTGCTATTTCTAGCAGCTCGGTGGCGTTTTTTCCCCTGCAAATCCTTCTAGCTTCTGTAACTTTCTTTTTATGTCAGGCTGGGCTTGGCCCACAAAGGCCGCATTTACCATAGTTTGATATTCTGAAGCTTCAGGATCAAAAGGAGAGTAGACCAAGTATGCCTCACATAGTCAGCCGCTGGACTTTCATCTGGCTTCTGGAAGACCTCAGAGATCTTAGCCATATTGGTGGGTTTCCTGGCCCCAGCCCTGAGCCCCTGGAGGAAGGCCAGCTGATATCTTTCTAGCCTGGTGCCAGAAACCGGTCCATCCTTGCTGCTTGACACAGTTGCTGCAGGGAAGAAACATCCGCACAGGATATGTTTCAAGGGACCTGGCGTATACGGCATACTGTTCTTAATATGTTTGCTCCCCTTCTTAGTGCTATGTGTTCTAAACAGGGCCACCTCCCCGAGAAAGATTGTTTCCCCACGTGGGATGTTTCCCTGGAGTTAGGGATTAATGGGACTAAGGAAGGAAATAAATCAGCAAAACCCCCTAGTGTTACAGAAATACTGTGTACTACTTATGAAGAACTTAGACTAAGACTGTTGGCAATAAATTTGGGACTTGCTAGGCCCACATCCCCAGGGGTCTACCCACCAGAGAATGTACCAAAGCCTATGAAAACCCGCCGATACAGGGCAGTCCCAAGGAAGACCACCAGCAAGTCTAAAAGGACATAACCTTTACTTGGGCCACAGAATAGGATAATCTCCTTCAGTTACTTCCTTGTAGCTTAACAGTAGAGCAGTAGAGTAATGACCTTGGAATGGAGATAACAAACTAGCCCTAACTTTGGAATAGAATGGATAGGATTAAAATCAACAGAGCTAGATAGAGTTAAGATTTTTAGCAAAGGTCAGATAAGAAACTATAAACATAAAACAAGGAACTGTAGAAGGTCAAGGGAGGACCCAAAACATACCATGATGTGACTATAGAGGCATGCTTATAGGATCAAATGGTATAAATACAGATGTAACAGGAGAATAAAGAGAGAACCTGGCTATG